ACTTCCCCGAACTCAAACCTTGTGGGCGGGACTAAGTTCGGACTGGCACCCAGGCTAGCAAGTGCCGGCTGTGGGGATTGAACGGGATACTTGCAACCTTTCCAGAGGACAACCGCACTGCTCTAACCACAAGGCCAACACTCCCCAAAATGCAACACAAGGAGAAAATTGGACTGCACAAACTAAGCAGAGGGCAACACGGTGGTGGTTGCATCTGGCTGTGGAGATACTTTTCCATTGCTCTGTAGGATCATACAATCATACAATGCTTTGCATGGGACTATGACATAAAGTCATTTGGTGTTTGAGAGAAAAAGGTGAAAAGTTAAAGGAGTAGGAATACTTTTAAAAGGCGCCATAAACATCTACTTGACATGATTTGGTTTTCTCCTTCCTGCTTACAGGCGATACACAAGTGCAGGCTTTCAGTTCTCATACGACAGCATCCCGACTGCTGAGAACCTGGCTGTGATGTTACAGAAGTCCCCCATCACATATGCAGCAATGGTAATACCCACATAAAAACACTTATTTGTTATGGCATACAGGTGAATAACTAAACAGTTAAAAATCATTATGTGTGTTTTTAATAATTTATTATTAAAATTGAAAGTAAATACTTTATTGACCTCCTAAAGTGCCCTGTAGGGGGTGCTAAATCTTATATGAAAATGTTCATTTATCAATAGTTTCAAGCCTCAAGAAAACATAACTTTTATCAACCGATAGCATTTTCAATTATAATTATTGCCATCTTAAATAATAAATGTGACTTTTATTGAATGAAGTGTTGATGTTTTTGCAGATCAAAGCCCCAGTGCTCCTGATGTTGGGTGGGAAGGACCGAAGAGTTTCTCCTCATCAGGGTCTAGAGCTTTACAAAGTTCTGAAGAGCAGAGGGTCGCCCGTCAGGTACACGAGATCAACATAGCGATCATCTGGACGGCCCAAATCCATATTTCAGCTGTTTCATTCCTCTCTCCAGGTTATTGTGGTTCCCAGACGAAGGACACTCTTTGTCCAGGGTGGACACTCAGGTCGACTGCTTCCTAAATATGGTGCTATGGCTGAAACAGCACGTCTGAGCAAATCTTTGTACACACTGTGACTCAGCTGTTTTGATTCTGCTGAGATTTTGACACAGGATATTGAATGAAACTGAAACCTGTCTTTTTACTAAAACTATGAAACCCAATTTTGTAAAATGTGTAAAAGCATGCAATAAACACCTGTGTCTATGCAGAGCTAATAAACTTTAAGGTTGAATTCCTTATTCAATGGTTATCTCTCAGCACTAAGTTCAGGCAGGGGTTATTTTTTACCAGTAGCTGCCATCAGCATGAATTATGTTTATGCTTTAGAATAAAATTAATTGTAATGAAAACAGCTTAAAGAGCAATTTATTTAGTGTAGTTTATTTTGATTAATTACATTTAACACATAAATATGCCTCATCATCATATTTTTAAAGTTTAATTTATGTAGTGGAAGACTTGACCCCAACTTTGGTAATTTATGCTCCAGAGCAATTTACTTAAAGAAACCCTGAGGGCTGATAGCCTGCATAGTTTAGATGTTCCCTCTTGCTGTACAAGGCTGAACAAAATCCAGACTGGTATACAGACCAGCTCTGATAATGAGCTCATATCGGAGTATAGTATGTTACATAAATATCACACATAAAGACACTACCAGTCCTGAGACCTGGTCTACTGACTCAAAATCTAATAAGTTACTTTGTTACCTTTTTTAAGATGGGTAGATGACTTTGTTTCACAAGATCAGGGCATCACCTGTTTCTGTCTTAGCCTACTTCATGTTGTCAGATTTTGCTGATCTAATAGCCTAGGGCAGAGGTCACGGATTAACGGACCAGGGTCCAGATCTGGACCCACCTGCTGGCTAATCTGGATCCAACCTGATTTAAAACATTTATAAATTACCTCATGTTGTCCGACAACAGTGTCTAAACGTCACTTATATCCTACCGTATTTGTATGGTAAAGCCATCCAGAGTGTCCGACCCCAGACTACACGTGATACAAATTAGCCAATGAGCTGTGTCAGTCAGGGCTGCTGATGCGAGCTACTTTTAGACGCAGCAGGCAAACCTGTGGCAAGATGGGTGATGGGAAAGAGGGAGAAGACGATGAGAAAAAGTGAAAGAAAGTGTAGACTCCTGGAAGAACCGTGGTGAACAAGTGAAAGGAAAGTGAAATGGTGTGCTCAAAGATGACCCTGCACATTTAGAGTATGTTTGTCACGAATGAGCACCTTGATATGTGCTTGAGAATGGCTTTGCCACTATTCAAACCCAGGTTTAAAGCCCTGCAGGTCAGCCTAAAGCCAACTTCTCTCATTAAGGCATGAAAAAACAAACAAAAAAAGTTTTATAAAAAAATAAATTATTAAGGAAATGGTCTATATACCAAACTGAAAGATTGCTGTTCTATACCTTAAAAACAATTTAGATTTTAAAATGGAAAAACGTATTTTTAAATATTTTTTATTTAAAAATTAAATGTATAACATGGATGCATAAACACCTAATTTTATTTCAGTGTTAAATGCTGTTTAAAGTAATGGATTATAATAAAAAAAATTGGTTACCCCTTGCCTAGGCAGTACTTCGACATGGGAGCTGGTGGTGTGATCAAACCCTCCTCTTCATAAAATAGTTAAAGAACATCAATGTCTTCAGTAGGAGGCTTCTCCAGATCCGGTGCAAGACCGATTGATACAGAAGATCCTTTCTGCCCACAGCTATCTATAACATCTCATTGGAAAACTACCCATGAGTTACTGCAATGTAAAATTTTCCTTTAGCGTCCATAAAGTATTTAAATTTAAATTGAATATGGGTAACAATGATTAATTCATTTTTTTTTAACATGTTGGGTTTGTTAGTGCCTATCTAATTCTCTCATATTACCATGTTTTGGTGGATCATATTTTCCCTTTATTTAAAGAAATTATTTCTTAAAAGTGCTTTACTCAGATTATTTTTGTGTGATGATACAATTATTTAAAGATGAAAGATTTAAGTATACAGTAAGAAGTGTGACAGGCATAGATGGAGAATCTGAGGTTAGAATTCAGATTGTACTGCTAAAATATTCTAAACTAAAATACTCTATACAGGAAGGAGATGTGTCAAGGCAGTCAAATATACGAATCCTAAAATGTTCTTGATGTATGAAATTTTAAAATTTTGTTTTTGGGGGGGGGATACTGGTCTATTCTATCCCCAAAAATGTTTAATTTAAATTTATGGTGTTTAGCATAAATTTACTTGTTACTTAATTAATAAATCAAAACACTTTGCAGCCAGCTGTTACTGCACCATGAAAAAAAGGTAACACCCCCCCCCTTTTACTTTTGATTGTATCTGCAATCATGGCTCCCAGCTGTCAGTATTTATAGCTAGAAAACCTTTATCCCTCTCCTACTTCCTGAATAGAGTCGGGATGTCCTCCTTATAAACTCAGGGTTTAAAGTTAGGAGGAAAAAGGGTCAATTTTCTCATAAAATATTGATAATAAAAAATCTATTTTGAACACTAGGCTCAAACCTGCACAGATTTAATTCAGACTAAAGTCCAGCAGATGGCAGCATCTATTTTCAAAAGCTTTGGCAAACAATAATGTCCAGTAAAACCAATTGAAATGTATTGTCTTCAGTCTTAAAAATCTTTAGTAGATCAATGAAAAGCAAATATTGAACTTCATATAAAAAAAGGATAGCTGCACCACAAGCTATAACACAAAGACAAAAAATAGTCTTAGGATACCAGGAGATCCTCAGCATCTGGAGCTCTGTAACCACAGAGACCCTCTGCATAGATTTAGACCACCTGAAATCTAATATCCTTTAAATGAGCCTCTTGACCAGCTTCCCCATGGGACCGCCTGAGCATGTAGAACTGTACTGTTGACCTTCAAGCTAAGAAACAGGATCTAAACAGGCAATCTATTTGAAAGTGAGGTCACGATAATCCAACCAATACAATACAGTTTATTTTATCATGAAATCATGTCACCTAAAAGTTATCTCCGGTTCATTGCACAAAGTCAGTAGAATTCAAATCCAGTTACCTGCAACCCTTGTCCATGATTGTTTCTCTGGATGATTGAAGTCTAAACTTCTGCTTAAAAAATGACTGACTGAGGGAGTAATTTAATTTAATGATGTCCTTTATAATAAATCATAATCACGCCAACTTGTATTTGTCTATTGTGTCTTAACTACTTTAAAGGAAATTTTACTTTTCAAAACCAGGTCAAACGCATCAGTGGGTATTTTGAAACAAGAAACACCTTAACTCTTTATAAATGCACATAAAAAAAAAAAATCACCCATTGCATTGACTCTCTGGGGCAGATGAGAAATAGAGTTTGATTTACAATTGAAAAAAGAAATGAATTGATTAAACAGCAGCGATAGTAGACATCAGAGGAAGAGTCCTGGACATTTATATATTTTCTCACCTTATTGTGTGTGATTGTGTAGCTCACTGATTAAATGCATTATGCTGAACATTCAGGGGTGCTGACTTCAAGGGCTTCCCATTCTGCTCTTTTTTTTTATCATGTTTTAAATCTCAGTTAAAACAGTTTCACATTAAACCTTTAATGAAGATGGAAAGGTTCACTCTTACACCACAAATATTCATAAATTAGCCTTGATCTCTAAGAACAGAAGCACCTAGGAAAAAGCAAGCAAGATAGCTGTAGTTCTCTTGTAAAATAGGTGCCTTTGCAATGAAGAAAAAACAAACGAACAAAAAAACAAACAAACAGAGGAAGTGGCGTTCAAAGCTTTAATCTTTAATCTGAATGAATCCAAGACAACGCATTAAAAACAGGTGGACCTTGAACCTTGATGGAAGCTGAGTATAAGTTTAGCTGCTCTGCTCATAAACTGGTCTTAAATCAGTGTGTCTGTGCATTTACACATGTTTACATGTGTGATATGACTCAAAGAATGTACTGTCAGTTGCCCCAGTGGGAATTTCTTTTGCTTTGATGCATGGGCAGTTAATAGGGAGGCAGCATCTGCATTTGGTGTAAAATTTGACTATGCAGGTATCTATTGGCACCAAGGTTAATATCTGATTGATTCAGGTAGAGGGAGTGAGTAAGGAGGGAAATCATTAAAGAACCACCAAGATGTTTGTAATTAAAAAAGAATTAATTAAATACAGTTTTGTGTTTTTTAAACCTCTCCATCTTTTATTCAGACAGGAGAAATTCAACATCCCAGGTAAAAATTTTTGTAGCTGAAACCAGACTTAGACAAATCATTGCCAAGAGAGAATGCTCTGATAGAGGAGCGTCTCCCTGCTATGACTCAAGTGGCCATAAACAATGACACCACTTTCATTTTCCACAAAATAGGTAATCCTAATATTATACCGGTGGCAAATGCTGAATCAAATATGCCAGACTGTCTTGGTTTCTATTTTGTCATTATCTGGAAGATATCAGCCAGACGTGGTGGCGGCATTAATCGTCTTCTCCACCAACACCCAGATCTGTAGCCTTGACCGCAGCTGCTGTCCGATGAAGTCACCATGTGGGTGCTGGGTGAGGTCATCCGTTTGGGAGATGAATGGAGGGCAGAATGGAAGGTCTGATGAGGAAGTGACGTAGGAAGAAGAAAAAAACAGAAGAGACGGACAGAGAGGAGAGGGTGTTTGAGACAGGGAGAGAGCCAGATAATGGGAAAAATCTCAAGAAGTCCATCTGTGGTATTCTGACATGTGGGCTGGTGCAAATAGATGAAGTATTGTTAAAAGCCAGAAGTGGGGGGGAGCTTCATGCTCAAAACTTGGTGTATGTAGGAGGTATGGAGACAAAGGGAGGAAAAAGGGAAAGTGTTGTTTTCTGAGGCTGGTAGACAAAGTGTCTTTTGGTGTTAGTTTGTTCTGGTGCTTCCCCCCTTTAACCTATTATAGAAACAAAGCAGGTTGACCAGACAATGGGAAATCTACCTAAAGACGCATGTAGAGCTGAGTCACTGGAAGATCTGGAGATCTAACTTTACTACTGCAGATGAGCCGATCAGTTTTTTTGTTTGTTTCCTTTGGTATTTTGTTCATTTATCTTTGTTGATGAGTTCTAAGTTTATGAAGCTGAATGGCCTCCTTACCATAACCCTAATCTCCAGCTCTCCCCCCAGATTCTGCATCAGATTTAAGTCAGGAATCTGGACAGACTTTAAAGATATATGATCTACAGTTGGAAATAAAATGGTATGAATAACC